GAAAAATAAATGAAGCTCTGACTATAAATACAAATGTGTATGTACATTTCTATATTCTGAGAGGCTGTCCTATGATCTCTTACGCTTCTGATTTAAATTATAATAAGTTCTCTCAATAAAGAACATTAATTTTAACTTTTAAACTTAAATCATCTTCACCGCACCATTATCCTCTCTACTTTTCATTTGTACATTATTTCTATAAATACTCAAATGAAATTCAATCCACCATCTTGAAACCAATATACAACATTATATTGGTGGTCTAAGAATTTTTTTAAATACTTTGTTAAAATGTAAAAACTCTGAAATTACAAACAAAAAATTTACAATTTTACAGTATATAACTAATTTATTTTAAAAAAATATTCTGATTTTTTTAAACAAGTAATCAAGTGCTAGTTTTTCAAATGAACTCCTGTAAGTAGGCTAAAAGGGAGCACGTAGTCTTGTCCCACTAATACATCTCATTTTTTCATGCTGGTACTTCAACAATTTCAAAGTAGTCGTGTGGGAGAATCACATAGCCCCGTTCTGACGCGTCATCTTTCTCTCTCTGGAAGTGCACGACCTCCTTTAGCTTCTCCAGCTGTCTCTCCTGCCTTCGGCACCGCTGCTGAGCAGTCTTGAGTTTCTTCCTGAGCTTTTCAACCTGCTGCTCCAGCTGCTGAATCCTCTTCCTCTGGTGCATCGTGTCCTCCACGGTGTAATTGTGGTCACAGAAAACCGAGAGATTATCAGGGGTCTGGAGAGGAGGCATTAGCAGCCCAATAGCAGCATCGACCTGGGAAGTGGGGGGTGAAGGAGGAGAGGGAAGCTGTTCTTGGGGGTCCAGATCTTCCTTCTAAAACAGCAATATACAAGCAGATGTGAGTTTAGTTACTAAATAATGGCCTCAAAATACCTGCAGAGTTTTAGCATTAGACTTTGTCACTCTGTGGTACAGAAAAATTCCCAAATGAGAAAGCAGACTATTTTGGAGGTGGTTTTTACTGTACTGACATGGAATTCAGGGTGCCAGGACCTCAAGGCAAAGCTTTTTACTACTAAAACCATGTCTTCCAGGCTAAAAATGTCAACATTAGGCTTTGGCTTGCTTGGGAACTTTTAGAACAGGGTCTTGCTGTACAGCCTAGGCTGTCTCACACTTCATTTTTTGAGCTCCTACTGTCTTTACTGGTAGCCCAAGCTCCAGGATAACAGGTAATGTGTAACCCTACCTGGCACCAGTTTGGGGTAGGTTTTGTTTGTTTTGGGGGGCTTCCTTACTGTATAATCCAGGCTGGCCTAGAACTTACTATATTTATACCAAGCTAGCTCCAAACTTGTGGCAATTATCTTGGTTTGTTCTCCCTGGCGCTCAGATTGCCGGTGTGTACCACCATGGGGCATTTTCAGTGCTCATTCAACTTCTCTTCAAAGTTAAAGTGGGATTTGTCAAACAAAGTGATTTAGTTAGATATTGGCAAATACTAAACACCTAAAACAGGAGAAAAATAATTTGAAAAGAAAATGCCATCAATAATGAAAAACAAAACTTATCAACATGTAAATAAAGATACAGAACTATTTTTAACTTACAAAACTTGACTGAGTTCTTCAGTGTGCAATATTTAATACATAAAATTCTATGTTTTTAAAAACTGTATTACTGTTACATGTAGGTTTTTTTTCCTTTAAAAAGATTTCTTTTTAATCACATGTATATGTGTGAGTGTATGTATGTGTCATTGAATCCCCTGGAGCTGGCGTTCTAGGAATTTTGAGCCACCTGATGTGGATGCTGGGACTTGAACTCAGGTCCTCTGGAGAGTAACTCTTAGCCACTGAGCCCCAACAGTGGTTGCTGTCCAATGATGGGTTTCAAATACGCTTGTTTTCTTAACCCTTCCCTGATTTCTACAAAATTTTCACCATGAACACATTAGTGTCATAAACTTTACAGTGTACAGCCCCAAACCAGTGCTTCTAGGATTTGGAAGGCAGAGGTAGGAAGATGGGGAGTTCCAACTCAGCCTCAACTACACAAAGCTCAAAGTGCCTGCCTCCCACAAGGGAGGAGAGAGGAGGAAAGAAAACAAAGCGAGCCCACGTTTAAAGCCTGGGTTACCTTGTCGTGTGGCTCAACACAGAGGAATATGGTGGGGACAGCATTCTCCTTCAGCAGCTTGTTGTTGCACTCTCTCTTAAAGCAGTCCGGGGTGAAGTGCTCCGAACAGATACTGCTGTACTTTGTGGGCTTGAAGTTCTTCCTTCTGACGGCCGCCTCCCACTGTTTGCAGAGACTCGGCCGGGTCAGAGGGAACCTGAGAAGACACAATCGGCAGTGCTGACTTTAATAAAGGGAATCGCCCCACTCTCCTGCACATCTCCTGCTGTGACCGCACTCGGGAGGATCTGAGGGAAGCCTGCTCCAGTTACTTAGCTCGCTGACTAGGGCTGACCTTTTCACAATGAGACACTAGCAGGTCCAGCAAACAGTCAGTGCGCACTACAGCTGCTCTTGAGTCTGTGTTCTGAGACAGACTTCTAGCTCTTCCTGAATCAGCCCCAAAATATTAATGACTGAATCCTGACTGTCTCAATTATAGGCAAACGATTAAGAAAAAAGGGAAACATTTTATCACTTAACTCGGCCTAGATAATGGCCCTTTATGTTTACTGTCACCACGCTGTTCCACGTCAAAAGACTTGGTTGTGTGCTGGGCGAAAAAGATGAAAAATGTTTCAAATTTATGCCTCGTGATTACTCCGCCACATAGGTATGCCAGACCCTGATTACACTTTTTTCATGAAGACCTAACCAATCTTAGTTAACTAGCATGTTAATGCTTGTTTCTTGCACAGCAGCTTTCTGCACCGCCAGTGGACACAAGCTAGAAAGAAGTACAAAGCAGTGGGGACCGCTTAGAAATCTTAGTCTCGAGTCTCCCAGCCTAGGAGCACAAATTCTTCCAGGGCTGTCGAGACTTTTGCCATTGACTGCTCTGTTAGATAATGGATAAGAGGTGTGTTGACCCTTCTTTTGTTTTATTTTTCAACATCCAGCCGCTGAAATGTTTTTTTTTTTTTGGATGTGTGTCATCTTTAACTGTTCTGTTCTCCGTTATCTTAAGAGTTCCCCCTGCCATCCTAACAGAAGCACAAGGAAGGGAGTCGACAAGCTGAATGCATATTCCTGTTACCATTTCCTGATCTAGTCCTACAGTTTGAAGATGTGTGAAATTTCAGAAATTCCAGTCAACCAAGAAGCAGTATTAGGAAATATTCTATCCTCTTCCCACAGGGAAAACATTAGCACACGAATCTCACTTTCTACTAAACATTTTTTTTGCTAAACACAAACAGTAGCCACCTCGCCAAAAGAAAAAAGAAAAAAAAAAGAAAAACCTGAAAGAACATTTTGAAATTTGCTTCTGTAATTGTTTTGCTATGGCTAACTTGTATAATTTACCAGTGAATCTGATCTCTTAGCTATCATCTGCACACAGGAATTCCTTCAGAAACCCAATGTAAAACTTAATGAATTTGGCTGCTTAAAAATCTTACATTTTGTGGGCCATTCCCAGTGTTAACAATTGTCGTTAGTAACGTTAATTCTCCATCTTTCTTCTACTTTCAAAGAAGTATTTTCACCCCAGGATTCTTGGTTGTGGTACCTACCACATGAAGCAGCCCTGGTAGCGGTGGGAAAGGCTGGCATCAGCTCCTTCACTGTGGCAGCTGAATCAAGTGTGTTACCGTCCTCATTATCATCACCGTGTGTTGAAAGACTGGGGTTCATCTTGGCAATACCAAGAGCTTCCTCTAAATCCCAGAGACCTAGTAGGGTTGTTCCCTTGAAACCTGGTCTAAAAGTCCTCACTGACGTCAACACTTTACTGTCCTTCCCAGCCACCAACAGCAGCGAGGTCGGAACCCCGCCTTCCTCTTTATCCACGGGGATCAAGCGCATCCCTATGGACCATTTCCCTGGCGCGGCTGGTGACGAAATCGGGAAGGCTACGAGAGACCTCTAGGCGTCGCTCGCGTGCCGGGAAGCCTCGGCGGCAGAGAAGTCGCGCCCGGAGCCTCAGCCCAACCGAGCCCACGGCGGCGGCGGCGACGCGCACCGGGG